TGCTAAATTATTTTTATTTAAATGTATGAACTGAAGTAGAGTAGCTTCAATATTAATCTGCATTAAAATTTGAGTCATACCAAAATACATGTCATATATATTTCCTTTTCAGCTATGCTTACATTTTTTTATTTAAAAAACTGAATATTTCATCGTTCCTTCGTCTTGTTGAAACTCTGAGCATTTTTGTGACATTCATTTGCATCTTATTGTATCTTTCACCAAAGTCATTCTTCTTTCTGACATAAGAACATTCTGTCAATTTCAAATAGAGGAACTAAGAAGTGTGGTTCCTGTCAAACTTTATCTCTCTACTTACCATATGGTGCAACTTAAAGTTTCACCCAGTTTCTGTTTGACTTTGGAACTCGGAAGTGACATTAAACATTATCGAAACGTCAATAGCTTTTTTTTAACAGGGAAAATATGATAATTTTCTAAAAATTGATAATAAAAAATAATTGTATACACTGTCGTTTATTCTATTATATTGTTATAATTGTAACGTATAATTGTACCAGGCATGCCGCCGGTCTTTGTGCTGAATTGTTTAAGAAATGTTTTACTGTTTGAACTCCAACATTGTTTTGCTGCTCCAGTTAAAATCCCAGCTGGTTAAACGCTGTAGCTGAAAGTCTGACTCAGCAACACGCCAGCATTTCCATCAGCCATAGGTTTCAATCTGCATTTCAGCCAAACTCCTTCCTCACTCTCTTTCCCATATTTCTGCAATTCTGCAACTATAGTTTTTGTTTTTTTATTGTTTGTTTTTCCTTTGTCACAGAAACAAAAATGGCAATCCCCTGAAACTTTTTTTTTACATCTTTCCAGACCTCTCATGTTACATTAATGTTTAATGTATTTAAGGAGGATCTTATGTCTTAGATCAACACAAAATAGTGCATAATTGGTAAGAAAATATGTATTCAGATCCCTTACTTTGATATCTGTATATTAAATCCAGAGATGATTACCCAGTTAATACATAGGGTAATTATTTACTAAATCCATCCATCCAATTTCTTACACGCTTATCCCTAGTGTGGTCGCGAAAGGATCTGGTCCATATCTCCAGCGGTCTTATTTACTAAATACTGTTAGTAAATAATATTTGATAATATTTACTCTATTAGTAAGTAGAGTATTTCTGTATGTAATTTAAGGAACATAGAGAACAAACAGAATCCATAAATCCAATAAACACAGTAGATAGGTCAGTCAAAAAGCTGTAGAGTAGTTCAAAACAGGGTTATGGGTTAAAAAAAACAATATCACGTTTGAACATTTGATGCCGTACTTTCCGATCCGAGGTTAAAAAAAAATTGGAACGACATGGCACACCTGCAAACCTACCAAGAAATGACAGTCCATCTAAAATGACAGGCTGGGAAGGAAGGTCATTAATCAGCGAGGCAACCAAGAGGCCTTTGGTTACTATGGGGGAGCTGAACAAGTTGCTAAAAGAAACCAGCTGTTGAAAGAAGGCCATGCAGTCATATCTGTAGTTTGCTAAAAGCAATGTGGAGGAAAAGAAAACATGAGGGTAAAGGTGGTCTGATGAAAGCAGACAGCTTTTTTTTATAGCCAAAATGCCACGTGTTGTGGAAAACTTAATATTGCACGTTGCCCTGAAAACAACATCCCTCTGGTAGAAGACGGTGTGGGAAGAATCATGCTGTATCATGTTTGAGTGTTGGTAAAACATCCAATCGGCAGAATAACTGAGATAAAAATGAACAATGAAAAATTAGGAGATTAAACACTGAGGGTATAATCAGAAACCAGATTAGCTACTCAGAGATGTGGAAGATAGAAAGAGATCAATAGATCAATAGAAGGTAATACTGTAAGAAACCTCCTTTCTTACACATTTGTAAATTCTTACACATTTGCAGGCTTCAAAAAGCTTGCAAATGTGCTAGATGTTTGCCTAAAGCAACAACTTTCACTATATGTCCAGAGCTAAGATGCTATTTATTGAGCCTGAACTTTTCCCCAAAACAGGAATGGACAAAACATTTAGTTGCAATGTTAAAGGCTGGTGGTGACATTCCAGAAACATCTGTGATGCAAAGTTTCCTTATCATCATAATGTTTGTTCGATGTTTGTTCAATATGTTCTCCCATAAAACCCAGAGACCCTCACAGAACTGCTATATTTATACTAAGATTAAATTACATACAGATGGATTATGAAGAGTTGGTTTCTTAAGGCATTTGGTTGCACTGGATTTTATTGTGGGGTGTCATTGTAAAGGGGACTATTACATATAATGACCACACTTTCAGATTTTCTTTTTTTTTTAATTTTGAAAAATATATACGTTTCTCTCCGTCTTCTATGCACTAGTTTTGATCTGCCACATAAAATCCGATCAAAACGTATTGAAGTTTGTTGTTGAAAATCACCTATGAATGCTTTGCAAGGTACACAGGTTTGCTTGAAACCATTTGTTCGTTAATCAAACATCTTTGTTGCTGCGTTAGCGCCAAGCGCCCCTGTAGTGGCCCGAGCCACCCACCTGCAAAGTTTCTTGTGAAGACAAGGGTGACCAGCAGGATGGGGATGATGACCGTCCCTATAGTGACGACCCGATCAAAGGGCAGCTCCAGTTTGAGCTGCACCATGAGGCCAGCCAGTGCCCCACCCTTCTCATCCTGAGAGGAGCCCGGCAGGATGAGCTCCTTCAGCTTCTCGCCCGCGAGCAGCGCTGTGGCCATGTCTAAGTTTTGATCGAGGATGTTCTGCATGCGGAAACGGAAGTGCCGCGCTCTACAGCTCCCCTCTGCGAATGAGGCGAGACCAGATGCTCCCTCTTGTGGTTAGGTACTTGCCAAGACGCTGTGAAGCAAACACGCACACAAAAATGTGTGGCCGCCGTAAGCCGTGGTCAACATATGTGAGAAAGTGGTGATTTGGGATGTTTGCTCAACTTTTACAAAAGAGGAGACCTGAGGGTCAGAAGCGCATCTCTCAGTCAATGTGTCCCTCGTGCATCCCTTTGTTTTGTCCCGTCCCCACAGAGTCTGGCTGCAGTCCAGTAGCTCTGTATGTGGCAGCTTGAGGAATGACCTGAGTTTAGGAGGAGCTCTTGTGCTCCACAAGGAGAGTAATTGTAGGCTGAAGAGTGGTTATGTGAGCATTGGAAGGAAGAAGCTTTCCCAATCCGATCCTGGAAAACAAATAAGAAGTTAGGAGTTGCAAAATAGGAGCTATTATAGAGTACACAGAGACAACATATACAGTAACTGTGCATCTTTAATGTTTCTCTTTCATTTGTGGCTAGTCTTGTGGGAGAATGTTATCTTTCGTATTCTGATGCAGACGTGTGGCTGAAGACAGGAAACTTCAATTTAGTTTCCATAAACGGCACCTTGTAAAAGTATGTCTGCTCCTTGAAAGGTCTTATATTTAGCCATCCATCCATTTTCTTTACACCCTTGTCCCTCAGTGGGGTCGGGAGGGCTGCTGCTGCCCATCTCCAGCTAACGTTCCGGGCGAGAGGCGGGGTTCACCCTGGACAGGTCGCCAGTCTGTCGCAGATATTTAGCCACAAATGTCTAAAATATTATTTCACTGGGATTTTATGAACACAAAAAGGGCATAATGTAATGCGGAAAAACACAATATTTAGCAATGTTTTATTTAAAAGTCTATAAGTTCAGTGTTTGTTTTGTTGCCCTACTAAAATTGGATTGAGGGTTTCTGAGAACATCAATTTTTAAGTTCCTCATTTCAATTTAGGTTTGTTTATTGGTTTTGGTCACACACAATAATATGTTTTATGCTAAACTTCTATATGTTTGCTTTGGATTTGTGTTAAAGGCCATTGCCCTGCTAGAAGGTGAGCCGTGCCTCAGTTTTTTTTGCAGTCTAGCAGGTTCTCTTCAAGGACTGACCTGCATTTATCTGCATCAATTTTCACATCTACTTTGAGCTTGCAGCTTTCCTGTCTGTACTGAAGAAAAGCATCCCCACTGTTTAATGCTGCCACCACCATGTGTCTCATAATGGTGATGGCATGAATTAGGATGACATATAGTGAGTTTCCCATTTTAAAAAATGACATCCATTTTTAAAAAGTTAACTTTCAGTCTAATCTGACCAGCGCAATCTGCAAAGAGGACTTACGATGAATTTCATTTTGCTACTTTTCAAAGAGAGCACATTTAAAGAGTCATAACTAATGTTTGTCCTGCTGACAGATTCTCCCACCTGAGCTGTGCGTCTCTTCAGCTTCCCTTCAGAGTTACAACCTCCTTTGTTGCCTTTTGGAATAATACAATCTCAAAATGTGGGAAAAAAAGCACTTTTTCAAGGCACTGTTATTGTATATTGTTGTCCTATTTTAGCAACGATGTACAAAGAACCAGTTTCAAGAAACTTTAAACTGACTCACAAAAATATGTTATTTATTTATTTTTCTTAAATATGATGTCAAAATTTTTTATAACCCTACATGAGGAGCACAGAATAGATCCCTGTGGGACGGACAGAAAACTTTAAGTGATCCCAGACTCCTAGTGCTATCCAATGTTCTCTAGCTTTCATGTGCATTCATAAAAGTTTGAATTTATGCTTATCCAGCACCACAATTTTGCAGAGGCATCACCGCCTGCAGCGGGCTTCTTGAACATGAAGGTTATAGGAAGGTCCTCGGTGGGGAGTGTGAATGCATCATCCATTTACCATCAACTAATCTTATCCTCTCATGCCATCTCTTCTTCTTTTGCTAAAAAAAAGAAAACATATTTCCATCTCTTCTCCTCTCACTCTTGTCAAATCCTATTAAATCCTTTGAAAGCCTATCCCTTGTATATCAACACGAGAACGTAGTACTTAACATCTTACAAAGAGAAATCTTGAGTTGCGGCTTCAGTAGTCCAAAGAGCAATTAGTGTGCTCCAGCCAGCTTAAAAAGTGAACATGACTAGTGGGATCATGAGCAAAAGAATCCTTAGAAGCATTATGAAGGACCGCTATTCAGTGTTCATGCCGACATGGGGTAATTACTGATTCTCAAGTAGAGAACAAGATGTCCCTTTTGGGATAGCAACCTTCCAATTTCACCCTCCCATATGACAACTTTAAAGGATGATCAGAAGAGAGGCAAAGTTTACATAATTTAGATTTAAAGGAGCAGGGTCACATTTTAGAAGCTGTCTGTCTGCCACTGGCGCTGCTCCAGCCTGACAGATTTTTGCCCCTCAGTTGGGCCATGCTACCGGTGTGTTTACACAGGGAATCCCACATCTTTGACTACTACAACATCCCGCTTGGCTCGGACCAGTGCAGCTGTCTGCGAAAAGAGGCAGAGTTAGACTTCAGGACAACAGCTCAGGGAGTGGAGCTGCTCTTATCCACCCATTCCTTCATTCATTATTAATTGGATGACGAAGGGACATGGAAGAACTTCCAGGGCGGAATATTCTCTGACATTAAAGGAACGCTTCTGATTGGGCTGCTTAATGACCAGCTCAAGACCACTAAATCAGCGCCGTAACAGTTTCCACACTTTTACGTGTTAGCATAAAAGTGCACCAAAAAAAAAAAAAAAAAAAATCACGAAAAGATCACCGTGTCTTACTCAGCGCAGCAGGCTGGGATCCGAACTGCTGTCTCCGAGAGGGGTCCATCGGTCTTCACCTCTGCTGAGACATTGCATTGCAGTTAATTACAGCCGCCTGTGGATGACGAGCCGCTTCAGCACCTGAGCGGCGGACAGCTCCCGGAAAACCGGAGACAAGCTGCTCAACATCAAGCACACATCGATTCGACGAGCACGCCAGGAAGCGAAAGTGCATCTTGTGTGTGAAGCTCGGAGTGTGCACGAGACGAGAGGAGACTCTCTGTGATGCTCTGCACCTGAATCCGTCTCTACCTGTCCGCACTTAGACCGGACCAAACCGCCGCATTTTGCTGCTGTGGAGCGAACTGCTAAAATTTGCGGGGCAGCGAGGACGAGAGAAATAATAATTAAAAATAATAATAATAATAATAATAACAACAACTCACCGAGTCCAGCTGCGTCTTCCCGGCGCGGTAAGAGTTAATCTGCAGTGCGGGCGAGAAGCTACAGCTTGTATCCGAGCTCACCGGTTTGTTCCGCCTTTTCTCCCCCCACCCTTCCCCTCTCCCTCTGGTGACTCCAGCCCTCTTCTCTTCATCTCCCCTCCCCGCCTCTTCCTCGGAAACAAGGGAAGAGATAACAAATTAAAGATTCTGCGGCTCTTCGTATCAGCTCTGTGAGTGTTTGAGGCGGAATTACGAGCGCCCTGTGGTTTGTTGACAGGCTTGCAGCAAAATCGTCCACACTTCATCCTCTGCAAATCGATATTATTAAAAAAATAAAAATAAAAAAAAAACATTGCTGTAAATATTAGAGATTTGCTAATGCGTTGCAAATGAATCACGTTTTAGGGCTGTATTCTGTACAACACAAGCATTTAGCGCTCCACTTGGATCATTATGGACTCTCTAAGTACAAGCTGTGCGGTTCAACTCCTGTTTATTCGGTCCAAACCGCACGGCAGTGTCTTCTTGCCTTCCTCATAGGTTTATCCAGCCTGCCTGTCACCTCAGAATGTGGGACTGACCGTGGACACATGCAAACAAGGACTGGCAAAGACGCGTGTCATTCAAATCTTATGGGTGTGGCGAGCATCTTCACCCATCTTCTGTTTGTAGATGAGTCATTAACAGGTGGTTCAAGTTTCCTGTTTAGAAGAAGCGCTTTGAAATTACACAAGAGGAGTGGTGAGGGTTGGAGTTCTGGCAAGAAGATTTCATCACGACAGTGATAATAATTAAAAGTTTTAATATGTGAGGAGGGGTTTTAACCTGTGCTTTTCCTGATGGTACAAGAAGTTCAAGGATTTCTAAAACTGTCATAACTAAGTTTAAAGTTATCCTAACGAGTAGGATTTTACTGTAGATATTCACTAGTCATCCTGTGTGGTTTTCTAACATCTGTGGACGTACAATCCCGAGCATTTTGAGTACTTTTAAAATAATTTACAATGTGCAGTTTATGGAGAAGTGCGTTGGGACATCTCCACATTCATTCCGAATTAAAATAGCTAAAAATCAAACATCAGTATTTCTCCTACAGAGCATATCAGTTGAGAAAGTCATTATGCTGCTTTTTGAAGGAGCTTCACATGTAGATGTTTAGGGTGTGTTGAAGAGAGAGTGAACACAATGGTACTTTGAAACAGCTGTCGGGATCCTTCAGAAAGAAGATCTAGCTTATGTCTTTGCTAAGAGATTTAAAGACGTCTTATAAGAGTTTGAAATCAGCCATTCCTGTCCAGAACAAGTGACTAATATTCAATGCCACTGGGCCCCAGTCTGGCTTTCTAAGCAGGTTCCATCTGAGCAGTCAACAAATGGTAAATGAAATCGCTGAAAACCCTAAAATCTCATCACAGGATCGACAGCAGGTTTTTGCCGCAGTCAATATGAAAGTACACTCACTGCACTGTTAGAAAAAATAATTCTGTGGCAGGTGAAGAAAAGATTTGCTCTCTTGAAAAAACACAGAGAGCAAACTAAAGTTTTCCAGACAAAGACTGATTGTAGAGTAATGTTCTTTTTATGGATGAGTCTAAAATTTGACACCAGAACATAGAAGATGTTTTGCCTGTTGTAAATTTTAAGCGAGCACAGGATTTTTTTCTAGGTTGGTATCCTTTCTGTGTAATGATGACAGACTCCTCTCAGTGTGGATGGAGATGCTGACGTTCAGCATGTGTTGATTCACATAAAGTTCAGATTTGGGTGGTTTCTTGTGAGTCCGTGAACACACTCACTGATTGTCCTTCATTTGAGGCCGACAGGATGGGTCTGCTGATTAAAAACTTGAACATCTTGGTGTTCCAGCAGGATGACGATCCAAGCACACTTTAAAACTAGTTGGAATGATAAAGCAGAATAACATTAAGTTTTTGGAACCCACTTGATTTTAATCTGATTTCAAATACATGAAGCCAGACTTTTTTACTGAGCTCTTGCAATTCACAATAAAGGAATAAAAAGTGCGTAGATATGCCAGATGGAATCGTATCGCAAGCTTCTTGATGGCTTCAAACTAAAACTAAGAAGTTTCTCTGCAACTTTCAGGATAGTTCATAGTAAAATGGGAAATGACCTGTACTTGTACAACACTTTATCCAGTTCAGAGGACTTCAAAGCACTTTGCACTATATTCAGTCATTCAAGAACTCACACAAGTAGCTACAAGTGGGCACTTGTAGCTACATAGCAGCTACAAGTGCCCACAGGCAGTGTGACAGAAGGAAGGCTGCCACTCAGCTGGCGTCACTGGGCCCTGTGAGCAGCAGCAGCAGGCGAGGAGGTGAAGTGTCTTGCCCAGGGACTCGATGACTGATACGAACAAAGCGAGGGTTTGAACTGGCAACGCACCGTCGCCCCACAATGTGTTGAAATGTCAGTGGTGGTGCATGGAGACGTCATGAAATAGTAAATACATGCTCTAATTAATTCTCATCAACACTTATAGGTCTCACTCATAAATCAAATCAAATATTGCACTGGACACATGGGCAGTGGATATGTTTAATGGTGCTTTCTTGCTTTTTTTGTTGTTGTTTTTCCGCCTCAGAAAGATTTTTGGCTCGCCGCTGGGATCATTTTGCCCCTGTCTCGCTGTCTCTGCGTGTCAAAGTGGGGCACACCCATCAGACTGAATGTGCCAGCCCCTCCAAGCCAGTTTCTGCCGGCAAGGGAACCCGCTCCTTACCACGCATTGCTTCCAAATATAGACTCCTTCCCTCTGTCTCATCCCTCCTCCTTCCTCATACTTATGTTGCCTACAACAAGCAAGCTGCAAGATGTAGTTCCCCATCAGCAAGAAACACAAATATATAAAATCAAACACAATGCTTTCTAGCAAAATTTCACAACCTAAAAAAAAAATCTATTTCAGTTTGTAGTGTAAATATTTGGGCCTCCTCATGATTTAGGTCTTGAAATGAGAAATAAGCTGATTTCTATTTTTTTCCCCCTCATATATACCATTTCAGTAAGATATAGTTGTTTTGTGTCATATGTACATATTTATATTTGTATATTAAAGCCATGAAAAGGAAAAATAGAACAGTATTTTTGAAGTGTTAAAGCTTATTGAGCTTGTCACTGGAAAGGGCAGAAGATGCAAATGTCGCTCTTCAAACCTTATCCTGACAAACAGCAGTCACAGACGCCTCCAAGCCTCCTCCTAGAGCTCTGCAAGTAAAAGCAACTTGATGTCCATTATCAAGGCCGGAAAGACTGTAAGAGGATAGTAAAGGTTTTTCAGGCAGACTGTAATGTGATTAAGAAACTGAGGTTACCCGTAATGGTGGAAGTCGAGCTTGGCTTTCAAAACCACACAAAATAAATCGCAATAACAACAACAACAACAACAAACTCTCACTGTGAAAAGAGGAGGCTGACTGGAAGAAGTCCTCGTCCTCAAATGCTCTTTGTATTTACGCAAGTTTTTTTTAACCAAAATAATTTCTTTGACGATTTGAAATTTTTATGTTTAACCCAAAAAGAACAACAACAACAACAAAAAGCCCAGAAGAAATCTGTAAAAGCTAGCTCAAATGCTTTTTCGATCAGAGTTAGCTCTGTGAGCAGAACAATGTCTTGACAAACAATGGCCTACGCCTTGAAATGTTGCTTCAGTATTACTCCACCCTTTGCTTCCTTATGATGTCATCTGTTTTGACAAGCGCACCAGTCCTTCCTGCAGCAGAACACTCACACAACACGACATGATGCAGCCACCGCCACACTTCACAGATGAAATGGTGCTCTCAGGTTTTGCTAGTTTTACCCTTTTTTTTTTCCAAAAATGTAAAAATGATCATTATAGCCAAACACTTTCCTGTAGTTTCATCAGTCCACAGGAAATGTCTCCAAAGAGGCCTTAATGTTAAACTGCAATAAACTTCAAACTGACAGTTTATGTTCATAAGAATGGATTCTGCCTTACCTAGCAGACTTTCAGCTCGCGTTGGTGCAGTTCTAGACTGGCCATTGCCTTCCTGCTCAATTCTGCTCGATTCATTCCAGGCTTTCTCCCATCCCCTTGGATTCCTCTGGTAGAATTTCTACTGGGCCAATCAGTGTACAAAAGGAGAAGTTGTGAACAAAAATGCAGCTTTTCTATGCTGTTGTTTCGGAATTGTAGTCCACCTGTAGTTTTAGCAATTACAGAGGAGGAAGTTCACTAGCAATTGTTTCTCGATAACTCTCTTCCTCACATCTTAGCTGATCTCTTTAGATTTTTTCCATGATGTCACTCAGGGTAGCAGTGTGTTTGAAGTGTTACATTAAAATACATCCACAGGTGTGTGTTTCTGTGCAGCTTAATTAGATGCTTAGAAATACATGATGTCATCATCTGAGCTTCCCTAAATGGTCTAAAGGCACATTAATCTCAAGTGTGTGTAATGTGGGCATTGAGGGCATGCGCAGACATTTAGTCATAACAGAATGATTAAACTGGCACCAAATTACCTCAATAATTTCCAAACAAGTTTTATTTGAAAAAATCATCTCAGCCCTTTCTCTGTGCATCACATCGTTGTGCCCGCAATAACACATCAGCTACTTTGTAATAAAAAAGTTGCAACATCTCAAACCACAAGGACAAAGAAGAACAAAATCTGCTAGGATATATTATGAGTCATTATTCTAAATAAGGAAATCAGTAAACATCTTTATAAATATATGCATCACATTAGAGAACAACTTTTGAAATCATTCTTTCAACTGAGGAAAAAAAAAGTTATTGTATGCATCAAAGTGTAACTTCAAACGTCTAATGATGAGTTATTTGTGGACTCAAGCCACAGAACCATTTGCTGATTACTGCCTCGGTTGACTGTTATACATTCTTAACAATAACGTTTTTTAAAATGATGTTTTGTGATAAAATACTTTCTAGAAATAGTTACAATTAATTAATGGTACAGAAAAAAATCCCTAAACCGAAAAGACGAATGCCCACAACATCTTTATGCAAATGAAAAAGAAGAACAACAAAGCTTTTAAAGACTTTCTTATTAGTCTTTCATTCTTTATTTTCAGCTCCGCTTTTCTGGTTCATTTCTTTTGTTTTTCTCATTCTTATGGGGATTTCTTCATTGTTACCTTCTCTGATTTTTCCTTCTGCAAGGCAAACCTCTGTAGACAAGACGAGATTTCTCACTGGGCCATTTGGACCAAAACCGCCTTCCAGGCTCTGTCTTTGTCGTAGTCCTGCAGCGTCCCATTGGGTGTTTGCTGCTGATGCATCAAAACACAAAGGAGAAGCACAGAGGTTAAAAGAATGAAATGAAAAACTCTTCATTAATCACGTTGACTTCATGTAGATTGTCAGTTAACTGTCAGGAGGAAAATGTACAGCTGTTAAAAAGAAACAGAAATAAAACTGGATGTGACCTTTGGCCTTTTGTGTCCACAGCCTCTCATACCTCATGGTAATGAGTCGCAGTCTGTAAGCTGTCCTCACACTCTGGAGCCCCCAAGCGGAGTCGACTCTTGTATGTTGCACAGTGCACCACAGTGGCTGAAGTAAGTACTGCCTGCACCAGCAGCAGCACCATCAGAATCAACAGCAGGATGTCATAGGATTGCTGGGAGACACACACACACACACACAGACACACACACACGCAAAAAAAAAAACCCAGATGATTTTATAAAGTTTCTCAAGCTGCTTTTCAAACCTTCGCTAATTTGTTTCACGGTCACTGTGAGTTCAGGACTGGCGCGTTCTAGCTCTGCACATTTCTCAGTTAAGTTCACCTTGGCTGTAGGCACGTCATGCAGAAAAATATCAATAAAACTGATCACGCTGCTAGAAAGAAAACCCGAGGCTGAAAAGAGGAGGGGAGACGTCACGCTGCTGATGGCAATCAGCACCTCCACCTGAGATGACACAAAGAGCAAAAACACAGGAAATGCGACAAAAAAAAAGTGAAAAGCATAGGAAATAAGAGGAGGCAGACCAGAAGTGTAAACCAATCACAACCTCCAACATGATGATAGTCTGGAGAAAATAGCACAGAATTGTGAAAACTGAAAGTTTTGGAATTTAAATTAATGTCAGATTATAAAAAATAGTTTAACTGATCAAAATACTGTTTTTATTCTGGAAACCTTTGTTTTGTACTCACCAGGCATTTGTTGGGATATTCTGACACAACATGACTGGCGATTGCACTTGGAAAACACTGCAAAGGACAAGAAACAAGCATTAATCCACATCTGGCTTTCTTTAAAATGAGCTTTAATTTGTGTCAGTGCAAAAGGGCTAGAAAACCTACAGCTACAAGGATCCAGAAAAACGTGACAGACAAGTATGGACCAGGAAGCAGAGCGTCCATGTTGAGGGCGATAATCCCTCCGAACACGGCAGAGATTCCCACAATCACTTCAATAACCTGTGATAACCGTTTTTTAGCAATTAAACTACAGCCAGTAAACGAAATGCGACGTCATTTGCAGCAAAAGTGAAAACTATACTCACAGAATATGCTTTAAGGAGTCGAGTGGGGAACACCGCAGGTTTTACCACCACAGGTCTGTCATAGGACTTTAAGATTGAGAGGGGGTTAGGGCGGAGGCAACAAAGAAGAGGGCTCAGTATTATGCAGGAAAAGAACAAAAGCAATCAGTCACACCTTTCTGTGGCAGCAGCAGTCGTCTGCAGAGCGGGCCGACAGTATGACGGTGGTGGCCATCAACACCTCCAGCACGATCATCAAGATCAGGTTAAAGTTTATCTTAGGACAGGAAGAGGAGTGTGAAAAGGGACGGAAATACAAATGCTGGCAAAGACGAGAAAAATGTTCTTTAGAAACAACAACACTGAGGATGGATTTACATTGACAGCAGAAGGATTCAAGACCAGTTTGCAGCCAAACCAGACAAGGCAGGTGGTCGTCACGGCAAATGTCGACACGTAGACCACCTGGAAGTCTGACACCTGCATCCGCAATAAATAAAAAAACTGATATTGTTGCAATTTTTAAAAAAGATCTAAGTTATATCTTTTTAAATGAAAAGTCGTAGCTCTTGTGCATTCAGCCTTCACTCACTGCAACACGTCGTTTCTTGGCAATAGCAAAGCTTGCTATTGCTGCAGGGATACCCTGTGAGGATTAAGCAAATTATACCAACGGAGATCATTTTAAAAATGAAGATAAGGCATTTTGCCATAAAAAATGCCTCATTGAAACATTGAAACCGTGTTAATAAACTCAATAAAGGTGACAGAGTCCGTGATGGCCACTCACCGAGCCTGCAGCACAGCGCAAGTAGTCCATGGCAACAGGAAAGACATTTCCCAGGTACAGGGAGAAACCAGATGTGATGAGCAGACTCCCCTGGAGATTTATAAACACATACACATAGAGGGGCATGCATATATACATATATGCATTCACAGATCAATATTGTACCAGTCAACATAGCAATATGATAGAAATGTGATTGATGTTTTGAATTATTCATTTGGATCTTCAGGGTGAAATTATAGCCAATAACTTCAATAAACAAAGATAAAATACAAAATTAAGAATTGCATGTGCACATTTACGTTTAAGGTGAATACAGTCTCAAAAATATGCATACAGCTTTGATGTTTGGCTAAGAGTTAAAGTATTATGTTAAAATTCCCTTAGCAAGTTGCAGTTTGTTGCATTACAGACTTTTTTGAGCATTGACAAGCTTCGTGCTGACACAGTACATACCAGATTCTTAGGCAGAAGCAGTAGAGTTTGTTTAAACCGACTGATTTCCTGGCATCCAACTTTTCAGTAAAGTTGAATTGAAGACTCTCCAAAAGCTTAACTTAAGAGGCAAACTTGTACTGTCCATCTGCAAAATGCTGAGGGTTCTTTAAAGGATTATTGTTCAAGCTCCAAAACAGATTCTATGAGGGATTGGAGAAAATCTACAATAAATTCAAATGGTTGTATTAATTCTTGGTTATGAAACTCATCTAGGATGATTCTGTTTTATTTTATTTATCATTTATCAAATATCATTTATTTATTTTTATTTATCATTTCACTTTGAGAAAAATGGTGTTAAAATGTATCATTAGAAGCCCTAATGTAAAACGACATTAGGCACATTAGGCAATGATGACGAGTGTGTTTAAACTTCTGACCAGCACTTCAAATTTATTTTCAGATAAAAGATTCCTTAGAAATCCTTAAAACATAAAAGCTAACTTGGAGAGATTAAAATAACCCTGAACCTGAGATCCCGGCCAAGAGACAACTTACTTCATTTATTATTGACCACGTTTCCTCACTTGTAAAGTAGAAGCACAAAACAAGAATTTTGTTGCCAAATTTCACTCAAAACTCATAAACTGGGATGTTCACTCCTTAACGGAATAACTCAGTCCCAACTTTATAAGCTGTTGTGATTTGGACTGGACTGGCAAACTCTTCATTGTGCTCCTCTTTCCCTCCTTTCCTGACTACGTCTCCTCTCACCCCTATGAGGACACTGTAGAGCCAGGCCCTGTAGCTGAAGCAGGGATGCTTTAGAGGCTCCGGCTGGGCCAGCTGCAGGTCACTGGCCCTCACGTCCACTGTATAGCTGTCACGCTCCGGCCTCTCCCTCTCCCCCCGGTCTGGCCTTCTCTCCAGACTCCTGTCGCCCCTCCGCCCCAGTGTCCCGTTGCTCCTCTCCAGTGTGGACGTGCGGCTGTAGGTGAACTCTTCTCTGGCAGACAGGTCTTCACGCTGCATCTTTCGAAGGAGCTGTCGACCAACTTTGGGGCGAGAGCGGAAAACAGTGAAAAACAAAACAACTGCAACTCAGAGTGTCCTGCAAAAGTCGCCACATCACATCTCTTTAGCGTTTATGTACTTGGCCGCGTTTCCACCACTGAACGTGGCATAGTTTTGAGGTAAAAGGGAAAAATGCTTTTCAAGAACTATGAATCTGAAAAGTGTGGTGTAAATTTAGATAGCCAATCCTCTTTGCTGAGTCTTCATTGGAAAACGGGTCAAGCTTAGTTAGATTTGAAGATGTTAAAAACCCGAGAGGGGTTCTTAATTGGATTTTTGTCTGGGCTGTTCTAATGCATAGAAATGCTTTATTTTAAACCGCACCGTTGAGGCATTAGCTGTATGTTTGGGGTCATCGTCCTGATGCATCCCCCTTCACAACATCCTGGATGAACTTATATTTAGTCCCATATACATTCCCATAATTTCAAACCAGCTTTCCTGTCCCAGTTAAAAGCATCACCATGGCATGATTTTGCCTCCGCTTTGTGCTAAAGTTGAGTCGGTATCTTCAGGATGAAGTTCTGTTTGTTTTCTAAAACATTACATTTTAAATAAAGCGAGATTTATAGATGTTCTGTAAACAGATTGCATTATCTGAACTCTGGACTTCTGCAGTTCCTCCAGAGTCACTCTTTAATGTTTCTTTGATTTAATCTCTTCTTGCCTGGCCTGTTAGATTAGGTAGAGAACTATGTCTTAGCAAATTTGCAATTGTGCCATATCTATACATTTTTAGACAAGGATCGGTGGATATTCAGAGCTTGTGTTAATGTTGTTCCCTGAGCTATTTGTTTTGTTCCCTGGCCTTCATCCTACTGCTTGTCCACAAATTTCCTGTAACAATTAAAGCACCGAGGCCTTTACATAATAGCTGAATGAGGCAATTAGTCTAAATCACTTAATTTAGGGATATTGGACTGGAAAAGACTGAATACAGAGAAACAACTGTTTTCTATGTGTTTTTAAGCTTCCACTTTATAAAAATGTAATACTTTGCATAAGCCTGTGGCATAGTTTCCCAATAAGATAGATTCAGGTTAATAGTTGTAAAATATCAAAACAAGTTCAAGGGATACAACTACCTTCGAAAGGCAGTGCACATCCTCATGTAAGTAACTCTAGACTTTTTCACGGTCAGATGTAGTTTTTACTTGAAGCATTCCAGCATTGAATTTCAGAAAGAAAAAAAGAAAAAAAAAGTACATAAAATGCTAAATACACTAACTTTCGGCACACGATAAATTATTGAAAACTAGACAAACAACATCCCTGCTTTTATGTTAAGACAAGGATGACAAAATATTTCTCTCTTTATGCTTACCTGTTGTGAATTCCTCCAGCTGAAGTGTCTTCTATCAAAACATCACATAAAACGCGGCTTATTTATCTCTCTGGCCTTTCCTGCCTCATCTTCCTCCCACACAGATTTACTCCTTCTTTAAGTTCACTCCCTGTTTCTCTGTTCTCTCTCTCTCTCTCTCTCTCTCTGCAATGCTCTCAGAACCAGTTCTGAAAAGTTTTTGGTGCCCTTCAAAGCGCGGAGCTAAAACACATGGCTGTTGTGTTGCCAGCCTACTTTGTGCCAGAGGGAGAGCGCTTGTGCATGACAACAAGGGGGAGGATGAAGGGGCTCGCGCTGGGGGCAGAGTTAGTAGGGCAGACACCCCTATTTTATCCCTCCTCCTCCTCTTTGCTCCTGCACACAAATACACACTCAAATATGCGCACGGCAGCCCACTTAGAAAACTGAACAATGGGGCCTTCAGACCCGAACAACTCCGAATGTTTTCACATCAGCAAAATAAGAGTTTCAGAGAAATCTCTTTGGGACAGTTTGCAGTTGTCCTCTTGCATTACTTTTCAGTCACAACTTCCCCCGGTGTTGCTTAAGTGCTTCACTCACAGTTCACAGCTCGGTAAATTAAGATGCCCAGCAGCGCTTTAGAAAAGCGGCAGCAGAGACATTTCCACGGCTTCGTCACATGCTCTCCCGTCTGGCGGAACTAATACAATGATGGATCCTTTTTCCCTCATTGTAAAAAATGAAATTTAGGAATAAAACCCCGCCAGTGAGGACGCGCTTTGAGTGAATGTTAATTGTGTCTACGTGTGGACATGTCCCTGGATGCTGCGCCCCAGGATTCCAGTCACTCTTTAGTGCGGCGCAGCATTCCCAGCTTCATATTGTTCTCAACCAGCTGCAACCATGGTGACGCCTTAACAACTGTCCCTCAATTACAAACACCGCGCACACACACTCAAAGGGAGACATGCACTTTGCAACAGTCTCCAGAAACATTGGAAGGGATCTGTGAAACTGGCTGATGGAAACAATCCGGCATTCGAATACTAATGCAGTCAGTGAAATAATATTTATAATAATAATAATTAAAAAAAAGCATAAACAAGTGAGTTCAAAATCATAGAGGGAAATGAATCCAGCATTTTAGACTGTGGTTGACGATACTGCCACACTGGCAAATGCAGAAGTTGGTATCTAATGGGTTCAACTTTTCACAGTCTCAAGCAGATCTGCTGCTTTCAAAAAAGAAAAAAAAAATTGATGCACCGTGTATAGAGGACAGTTGAATAGTTGTTTTCACAATTTCCTTCACCCTATCCTTAATAACTGCATTAATTAGTGTGGAAAGTTTGAAGTAATTTACTTTTGGGTTACAAAGGCAGCTCAGTTTTGAGACTCACACATGGAAACAGAATCCCCAAACCAGCAATACACCTTGCCTGGCCTTTGGTAGCAACAATGCTAACTTTTATTTTTATGTCCAACTTCCAAAGTATGTCACCGTCCAGGAAAGCCAACGAGTTCCCCATCAACAGCCAACAAGAAAGGCTTTAATCTCTTTTATATTCTGGTTGAGGTGAGAAGGCGATGGACCCAAATCCAGCTCTGAAATTTGAATTCCTTAAAACTCAGAGCTGTAGACTCAACTTTTGATTGATACCAATTTTATTTATCACTTCTATATAACAGAAAACTCTATTAGCAAATTAATTTTCAAGTTGATTAGATCTCTTTAAGTCAGCAAATATGAATGGTTAAAGTCTCCGGGCTAACGTTGTTTATGAGGTTTCAATAATGCTCTGTTCATTTAGGGGCTCCCAAAAAAGAGAATGCTGTTAGTGAAGTGTTTTACGTCTTTATTTTTGTCACAGATTTCAGGCTATTTGGACCCTACTGCCATGAACACTGCTGGATCTCACATTAAACCTACCACCAGCTGAGATCTGACCTTTTGCTGCAGAGAACAAAAAAAACAACAGGGCTGCCCTCAAAACTGCTCTTCAAACAGAATTAAAGATAAAGAGCCACACCAGATAAAGTTAAAAGCAAATTCTCCGGGAGGAAGAAAGAAAAAAAAAAAAAACACCCTGTAGCATAATGTTCAAATAAACATCCCTGCAGCCTCTCGGAACATAACAAAGACATTTTTCCACTGCGACACATTAATAGTGACCCACGCTAATGACAAAAGACAATTCCCAAATGTGAAAGCAGCTCCTTAGGTTCCAACATGCAACACTTAAACATTAATCTTCATAAGATGAACAAATTTCTCTTTTTTTTACAGCAATGTAAAACAGTAAAGACACATGAGAAAAAAAATCTGTGACTATATACATTAACTTACATTATCAATATCTCTGTTTTATCAACAAAATTTACAAAGCTGTTGAGGAAATAAAATTCCCTCTTTCATAAGTTCCGTTTCTTCAGTCTTTTCATTGGTTTTTGTCTTTTGCTCAGTTTGTTTGGCTTTACAGAGTAATCTGCACAGATCTGACTCACAAATATACAAATGATCCTCTTTGTACAGGTTGTAGTAATTCAGCAAACAATCACAAAATGAGGCAGTGAATCGTCCTCATATTCAGGGATATTCTGATGGCTTATCACATTATGTAGAAATTGCTTACTGAGCCATAAGTGTGTTTGATTTGCTATTGGCAAGTGGAGGTTTACTACATAATATGACAGTGGTGTTAGTAGACATATATCAACAATACAAACAGATTTTCTCTTTTGTTTATTTTTTACCATCTGTGCTAAGATAACAAGAAGCATGTTAGCAAGTAATGAAGAAGAAAGATCACAACACGGTAGATCTGTGATTCCCAGATTTCCTTTTTTAACAGGAAATGATTTCCCTCACAGAGATGCTTTATTTTGTGTCTGATCGTTTCGTTCTCAATAATCCCTGCTTTTGGGTTAAAAAATAAAAATAAAAAAAATCAGGAGGTCTTGTTGAAAAGAAGTTCTTCCAAAATAAGAGCATGTATTTTAAATGTAAGAGTAAAATTCCTTATGATCAGTCTGATGTTGTAATGCTTGCCCCCAAAATTCTTCTCTCAAACTCAAAAGCTAGCGCTCGCTTGCAAATATGCTTTGCTCAGCCGTACTATATTTATGCAGTCGTATCCAGAGCTTCCCTCCTCCAGTTTGCTTCCCTGAGCTCGCGTTCAAACTTTCTCCCTGCATGTATCTAAAGACTGTACTCAAATCTTTCCTCTTTGCTTGTGTATTAACATTTCCAGCCAATGGAAAGAGTGTGTAACTATCATCTTTGAGGTGCAAATGATTTTTTTTACTATGGAATGCACTTCATTTGTTAGATAGTGCTGGACCACTTCATAGAGTCCCTGCTTTGTGCCTCAAGTCAATTCAATAGCAAAGAGGAAAGACTTGAGCATGCAGGTTTAAACTGTGCAGAGAGAAAATTTGATCTTGAGGAGAAGCACGGAAGCAGGAGGAAACGATATTTGTGCAAAAATATATTCAGCGTGAGCACAGGAAGATGTTTTGTTCTGTTTCGGGCTTTGAGGGTGAGCATTACATTTTAGGCTAAAAAAAAAGAATGCTACTTTAAATTAAAATATTTGTTTTTAATTTTTGATAAAAAATAAAAATAAAAAAGAAATCCCTATACAACAGTTCAGACAATCGATCCTTTGGAGGAAGACAAGTGGATGGACTGGATGCGGATGGCTAGGGTTTTCTCCAAGGCCTGCAGGATGTCGCTGCCAGGGCTTTCAGGAGGAGTGTCATAAAGCAGCTGTTTGAACGGCTCCAGCTCAATCAGCATGACCATGTTCTTCAGGAAGAAGCCTTCTATGTAGGACGCCAAGTCTGGAGCATCAAGAAACTGAAATGAGAAAAGAGTGCCTAATTTTAATCATATTTACTGCTTATCTTAGACAGGAATATTCCTCCAAGCATTAAAATTCTTGAAATGGTGTGTTTTAAATTGCATGCTTTTTAAATAACCTCTTTTTTCACCTTTGTGTGATTGTAGAGCTCAACACAGGTTTCAGTGTTAATGTTCTTGGAGCAGATAATCTCACAGTGCCTCTGTAGAGCTTCCAGCTGGAAGAACTTGGCTGCAGACAACAGCTGGGAAGAAGCCAGTGACATTAAAACTGATTAATGCTACCTAAATTGATTTTCGCTTGAAAAGTTTAGCAGCTGAGGGAGTGGAATTTCTCATAGTACACTACAGGGTAGCGGTCAAAGATTTATTGTTCATCTAACCTCCATAATATCTGTGCTCCTGATGTGCAGAGCGTCTGTTCCTCCGAAGTAAAGATACTGCATTACCAGCTGCCAGACACACAGTTACATTCAGAACAAACACAAAGCGTAAGTATATAGGTAGCAGGATAAATACCAAGGATATTGACATCGGAGGTGTAAATCTGAGATTATTTGAATAGGGTTTTTTTTTGTGTGTGTGCGCAGCATCCTCACAGCTATACACACACAGCCTGCTAAGGGACATTCGTCTAAATCTTAGTGAGGAAGCATGCATAAATTTATCTTAATATGTAAAATTTTCACTGCAGAGGTTTTATTACTATACATCGCACATACATAGGAACACTTTTAAGGTTAGTATTTACACACCTGGAAGATATGATATTTGACGTTGCTGATTTCAATGCAAGTATTTTCGCCACAGGGTCTGTTTGCTAGAAGAGTTTTAAATCTTGAAAAAAAAAGAGTAAAAACACAGCAAAATTAGAGCTTTGAAATATGAGCTTGATACATGCAGCATTGGTTTTGATTCACAAAATAGCAAATTTGCATTTTTTTTTCTTTGTTTGTTTAAAGCGAGGCTGAACCACACAGAGTTCTTGCCTTTAGAAAGATCTGATCTGAAAATAGCAAGACTGAAAAGGGTAATAGTACCTGTTGGATGCAGTGAAGAGCAGAACTTTGTGGGCATAAAAGGGTTTCCCCTCAACCAAAAAGGTCACATCAGACATCTCCTTATTGTTCAGGAAGTGAGGATCTGAAGAACACGTAAACATAAAAGTTATTATTATTATTATTATTATTATTATTATTATTATCAGTTTGAGAAAAAAAAAATCAAGTAGATACAATACCCGTCAGGGAAGATTTAATTCAACATTTCTGTTCTAGTCTAGAGCACTAGGTGGTGTTATGTGATTTACAGTCGCAGCCATTGTACAGCGCATACAGCAGTAAAACCAGCTGAAACCAATTGCGCTCAAGCTCTGCTGGGGTCGCTGGGGAGGGGCAGTGCTGACCAATTGTGACTTAAAAGTCAGGAGGCTTTTGAAGCGGCTCATTTTCCAGATACCAAAAAAAAAAAACATTTAGTTATTGCCATAAAGCAGCTGGGTGTGATTTATAGCGCTTGGAATATTTCTTGAAGCGCTAAAGACCCAAAAGGAAATACAAAAATGTGAAAAAATAAAAGTAAAAAATACAATGTTGCATAAAAAGCCCTCTTTAAATAATAAAACTGCTTAAGAGAGATGTTTACCCAGTCGTGATGTCTGTTTCCTCTTGATCTCTGTCAGTTTGGGGATGGGATAAGGACCATAGCACTGAGTGAAGATTGCAGACAGCTGCTGGCTAATCACTTCATTCTGGCGACACATAAGCAGATTGACAAAAGACGTTAGCCCAACGCACAGGGAGGCGACTTTAACTTATACATCTCTCTCTATGTTCGAGCAGACTGTTCATTAAGCCTCATGGTCACAGTTACATCATATCTTTGGTAAGAACTAGATGAATATCAGACCTATTTCTAACACCCACGTTACTGTAATGAAAAACAGAGCGACACCTCGGGCAAATGCAAG